AGTTGCTTTTTGGCTTTTTAGTTTGTATTCTGTGGTTAATTTTACTTTAGCTTCATAATATTTATTTATTTATTCATACTCGAAAACATATTGATGAAACATTGTATTGAAAAAATTCAAAATGAAGCCTAATTAATCAAGATGAGGCGGCTTAATCATAAAATGGAGCTTAAATATTAGATAAATTTAAATATTAAAGATTAGAAAAATTTCAATACGTCTCGGATAACATATAAGTAGATCCTTATACCGAAAAAGTAAAAAAAAAACTTTTATAATCCAAAACAGTGGCATAAACTTTAAATTGGGTCATTTACAAAATAGGGGAAATCTACTGCTCCAGAAACATAAAATTAGACCTTTATACTTGTTAAATTCTAAAAATTTAAATAAGTTGAAACGCAGTTGCGTAATCATAAAATAGAGGTCATTTTCAGAATCTACGGTTCCGAAAACATAAAAGTAGACCTTTAAATTGGATAAATTCGAAAAACTTAAATAAGTCAAAATGCAATGGCGTCATCATTAAATGGATGTCATTTTCAAAATCTACGGCTCAAGAAACATAAAAGTAGACCTTAATATTGGATAAATTCGAAAAACTTAAATAAGTCAAAACGCAGTGGCGTAATCATAAAATGGAGGTCATTTTCAAAATCTACAGCTCCGGAAACATAAAAATACACCCACATATGAAAAATATCCGAAAAACTCAAATAAGTCGAAACGCGGTGGCCTAATCTTAAAATGGAGGTCATTTTTAAAATCTACAGCTCCGGATACATAAAAATACACCCTCATATGAAAAATATCCGAAAAACTCAAATAAGTCGAAACGCGGTGGCCTAATCTTAAAATGGAGGTCATTTTCAAAATCTACAGCTCCGGATACTTAAAAATACACCCTCATATGAAAAATATCCGAAAAACTCAAATAAGTCGAAACGCGGTGGCCTAATCTTAAAATGGAGGTCATTTTCAAAATCTACAGCTCCGGATACATAAAAATACACCCTCATATGAAAAATATCCGAAAAACTCAAATAAGTCGAAACGCGGTGGCCTAATCTTAAAATGGAGGTCGATTTTCAAAATCTACAGCTCCGGATACATAAAAATACACCCTCATATGAAAAATATCCGAAAAACTCAAATAAGTCGAAACGCGGTGGCCTAATCTTAAAATGGAGGTCGTTTTCAAAATCTACGGCTCCGGAAACAAAAAAGTAGACCTTTATATTGGATAAATTCTAAAAACTTAAATAAATCAAAACACAGTGGCGTAAACATAAAATAGATGTCATTTTAAAAATTTACTGATCGGGAAACATAAAAATACACCCTTATATCGAATAAGTCAAAAAAAACTTAAATAATTCGAAACGCAGTCACGTAATCTTAAAAAGGAGGTTATTTTAAAAAACTACTCATACGATAACAGACCCACGCATCGAAAAATTAAAGATAATTAAATAAATAAAAAAAGGTTGAATTTGAAATGGAAAAGGTTTAATTTGAAATGGAAAAGGTTGAATTTGACTTGGAAAAAGTTTAATTTGATTTGGAAAAGGTTGAATTTGACTTGGAAAAGGTTGAAATTGACTTGGAAATGCTATATAAAAAAAAAAATGTAAATATTGCACCGAATTTTAAATTTCCATTTTTATTTTTTTTAAACTGGAACGGAGGAGAAATGTAATGTCAACATTACATGGCATTTAAATAGTGGCGCGAAAGTGGTAACAGCCCGAACTACGGGGAGAAATTGCGTGCGGATGGTGGGGGAAGCAAGCCTCATGTAACTCAGAATATGGTCAAGAGAGAAGGTGATAGCGGCCAAGAGAGAATGTACTAGCCAGCAAGCTGAGAAAATAGAAAGAGCCACAAAGTTTAGACTGGGACAATCAAGGTTTTTGAAAACAATAATAAATTTTATATGTATAATTAGTGTATTTAGTAATTAGTAAATTATAGTTATTTAATGTTGGATGAGTGTTCAGTTGTCAGAACCCAACCTGAGAATTTATGTTATGTGTTAAAATAAATAGTATATTGAAAAAGGAAACTCGTTTGATTTTGGAGGGAAAGAGGAACGTTACAATATATGTAAATATATATATATATATATACATACATATATATTTTATTTTTTAACGCCTCTTGACTTATTGCCTTCCGTCATTAGTCCTCCAGCAGTTATGGGGCTGTTCCCGGTGACACCTGTGATCGTTTTGTTGCTTTACTTGTCTCGAGGTCTCATATACTCGTATAGATATCCAGAGAGCACGTTGTTAATGATAACCAGACGCGAATACTAATCATTCCCTCTTCATTAGGATGCTTGGCAACCCTATTGCAGACTTCTCCAGCCTGTTGTCTTTCACGGGATATGGCTAGTGGCCCTGTGCCCAACCAATCTGGAGGACCAGGAGCTATGTTGTAGGAAGACACAGGAGTCGCTCACTTTCCTGTGAATCTCAGGGTGGGGACGTTAACCGTTCCCATGCGGAAATCGAAGCTGTGCCATAGTGGTCTAAGCAATCGAGTAGGGACTGCACTTATTTATTTTTCTTTTAAATCCAGCAAATGGGATTGAAACTAGTAGCTTAAAATTTTTGCAGGCGCCTTAATTCGCTCGACCAACGCGGCTCCCATGTAATGTAAAAAAATATAAAAGCACATAAAAACAATAAAACATAAATCCAAAATATCAAATCAATGAACTACATCTTCACTTACAATATGATTATATAATCCATCTAATCACAATTTCATATCATTATTGTAAAAATTGTTTCCTTGTAATATTATATAATTCATAAATTCTTTTTGAATAGTCAAATATAAATAAAAAATATCACAAATAAGAAAAGGGCAAAAGAACATATTAATTATTGTTTATTATATAATTTACCTGTGGACGGTCAACAAATAAAAATTATATGTAAAGTACTCCAATGTTAAAACATTTTTGTCCTATTTAAACAAAAGCCTAATGTCTACTGTGAGCTGCGGGCTTACTTATCATTTTGCTGATTGGGATTAATAGAGCAATGCATTTCAAGTTATTTTAAGTTTCCTGTTTTAATAATAATTTAGCTAAAAATAAAAAAGATGGTAGAAAAACTAATATTAATTACAAAATATATAGACGACTTATTGTTTATAAAAAAAGATAAGTAAGATGAGGAATTACTGAATTTATTGGATAATGTGCATAAAAAATAATCTTTACTGCTTAAAAACCTATTAATAGCAAAATAAGATATCTTGATATAAATATCATATTTGATAAAAATAAAATATCGGCAATTTTTGATGTTATATATCACAAAAGGGACAGTGAAAAATTATGAAATTCATCCAGTTTATACCTGACAATGATAAAAATGTGTATGTAATGGAAAAATAATTGAACAGATGGATAAGTTTCCAATATCAAAGAGCATACCTGAAAGAAAATGAACATATAGATACGGGGATTAGAAAAAGAATATTGTCAGCTGGAAAGTTTTTAAATGCAGTTAAAAAGGGCTTCATTAACTGCAGAGATAGTTCAGGAGCCCGTGGCAAAAAAGGTGTCATATTTCATATTAAGCTTTGTCCTTATAAATTGATAGTATCCAAACGCCTGAAGAGAAAAATGCATGTTTGCCAGCATATAGCCGATGGAATACAAAATAGGGGTGAAGATGGAAGAAACCCTAAACAGGTTGAAAGCATATATATAGAGAGAGCTTATAAATATATGAAGCTACAAACCCTTACAATTTATAGTATTTACAGTCTTAAGACATGAAAAAATAATCCACGAGTATGAGGTAACTAACTATTATTTCATGTCTTAAGACTGTAAATACTATAAATTGTAAGGGTTTGTAAGGATAGGAAAAGTGGCCAAGGAGGCTAAAGCGTATGCACTGCACCACGTGTTGCCCGGCAACCTGATAACTGAACTTTAGAGGAAAAAAAAAATTACAAGTTCATGTCCTGGTGCAGAGGGGGAAGGGGCTTTTAACTCTGGTATGAATTAAAACCCCAGGCCCCACCTCCTGGCCTGGGAAACTCCGTATAGCCTAAAAGAAGAGGAAGGAAAGAACAAACAAATAATAAAGTCTAACAATAAGGTGTTTGCACTTAAACGACAATTAGGATTAACAATTTTACATTTCTCCATTGCTTACCAGGATTAACTTTTTAGCTAATCTAATTGTCTTCATCTACCTCACTTCACAATTTCTGATCCAAAATTTTCCTAAAATTATCTAAAGAATAGATCTCTTTGGAATCCAAACTTAAGGCTCTCAGTTTTAAAATTAAGCTAGTATTTTTGGGTTTGTATAACCAAGAAATACCTCCTTTCGTTATTATAATCATCTTCAGTTTCTATGTTTTGTAGACTTAAGAAAACTCAATATAATTATAGCCATCTGTCATTACTGAATTTATACTGCTAACGTATGTTCTTTTAAATATAACCTGGTCTGTATATTCATATTATACATGCTCTGTACATTCTATATTGCCTACCTAAATCTAAATATCGAGATTTCAAAAGTTCCAACAATTTTCTTGACCCACATAAATTATGAAAGGTAAAAATGACACCTAAACACAAAAATTATGCATTAAGACTTCAGTACCCCACGACTGCTGATTTAACATGAAACAGATACATCTCTCTTGGTCAAAAACTCCTTTCCAACACAAATTCATCCATTAGTAAGCTACCATTAAGCCCAATTTATCCTTTATAACCCTCAGAGGTGTTTGAAAATAAGATGGCCAAGGGGCACTCTAGCTTGAGTCATTGAAGTGAAAATAATGTGTAGTTTCATCACATGTACACCAAGCAACCTAACAAGTTCTTTTGGGTTAACAGATAAAATTTTCTGGTAATTTTGAGTTTAAGAATTATTAAAAACAGTTATATATCTGAATTATCAAGTTTCAAACAATGTAGCTTGAAACCAATAATTTAACTAATTATATCAACTTACCTTCTCTTTTCACCAGATGGTACAAGGAATACAAATCCAATATCCTTCCTTCAACAAGTGGTATACTCAATCTAGAACCTTGAAGTTCCCAAAATTTGGCAATTTGGTCCAAAAAATTAAGTCTAATGCGAGTTTTCGCCTTGAACAATAGTAAAAGTTATCACATTTTATAGAAAATCAAGAAAAAAAAAACAATTTTGTTTTAAGGAAATTTCTCCTACAATAATTAATTTCACTAAAAAATAAAAATAAATTATAATAATACTTCTTTCAGTATCACAATCACATTTCAGAATGTATTGGATAAATTTACCTGGATAAATTTATAAAAAATACTTTCCCCTACACCAGGCACACTACTTGCATCCTTCTAACAATTCTTGAATAAACAACAACTGATAGGACTATACCAATTAAAATTTGAAAATCTACTAGTGAAAATAATCAAAATTTTAAATAGTAATGTTACTTCTTGTCTTATGATATAATCAAGTTTTGTTTTTTTTCTTGCTGCAAGCAAAACATTATACCAAATTTCAAAATTAGGAAATATTGATGAGAATTTTTTCATTATTTCTTTCAGAGAAGATGGAACAGCCCTTCCTTTCGAATTCCTTCCCCTCCTTATCAACCCCCCAATGTTAAATTTTTTTGAGATTTTCTAAACTGGAAAGTTTAGATACAATTTGATTTGACAGCACGAAGATGGGGCCATGATTACTTTGTTATTATTTATACTACAACATTGAACAAATGGGTATTTTAATGCCCTTTTGCAACTCGCTTCAGATGCTAACTCAAGCTCAACTTGACTACTGCAACAACTGCACAAGTGCAAGCAACGCCTGCTGTACCATTGGTACCATCGTCCTACAGTCAAAAACAGACAGAGACATCCTGCCAACCAGAACCAGCCTTACTTGGTATTCAACTGGTACAGTGATACTTCGAACCGAAGTTATCCCACCAATCTGCCCATTATTGGCAAAAACTGGTGCAGCTATGGTTTACCACAATTGTAGCCATCCCGCCTAAAATAACCATGTCACCTAAAATACCTGTATTTTCAGCGAAAATATCTAGAATAAATTATTGTAAAGTTAAATTAAAATTAAATATCTGAAATCAATTGGTCTGGTATATATATTTACTTATCCTTCATATCTTTAATCTTTTTAAGATCTTCTACATTACTTCATTCCTTGTATGTGCCAGTCAATTAACCAATTTAAGGGAAATTCAAACAAATACATTTAATTATTTGTCAGTTAATTATTGTCACATTTTTGTATTCGTTTAGTAAATTATCTTTAAATTTTCTATTATTTATGTTATTCCTTATTTTGTTTTCAAATTTCTCTTTCAGATTTAGGTTAATTGTAATTTATTGTTGTATTAGATTATGTGTTGTCGTTAGTTGATTGTAATATGGATTTTAATTTTTTTTTTTTGACACATTAAGTTTGATAGGATTTCAATGTATTAACAATATAAATTAATAGATAATTTTTACATGTTTTCAGGTTTTAAAGTAAATTTTGTATAGTTTACAGGAAAACAACTGTCTCTTATCGACCCTCTTGGGGAACCAGGCGACACCTCATTGTAAGTAATGCCGGCTGTAGGGAGAGGGTGTAGAACCTGCAGTTCTGTTAGACCCCCATACTCATGGGAACAAAAATATCCAATAATAAATTAAATTTAACAAAAAATAAATCGAAGGTATCTAACGGTATCGACATGGGCCAGTGCTATAGCATAGGCCCCAACAGAACTAATGGACATTGATGAGAAAGATAAACCAGAAATGGCTATCATAGAAAGTAGCCCTTCACAGTCTAGACCTGACCAGATGGTAGGCGGGGACCACGAGTCCATGGACTCAAGACGTCGAGGACAAGCAAGAATGTGAACAGGCGTAACAGGAGAAAGGCGAAAGCCCTTCATCTGTTAAACACACAGGAAGAGAAGAGACTACCTGTAGAGCACTCTGCTGAAGAAGCAAGGGCCCTCAAAGGCTTGGCTGACGAGGAAGAGGTGCCCAAGAGAAAGGCCTCAGATCAAGGGCAGACAACAAACAAATTGGAGTCTACTCAAGGGGAGGTAGCGGAGGATGCAAAGGACCCACAAGGCCTGGCCATCGAAGCTGCCGTGCCGGAGGGGAAAGCTCCAATACCACAGACAGAGGAAGAGAAGATGATGCGCAAAAGTCCAGCATCTAAGTTTGCGAGACCACACAGGCCAGCAACAAAGACTGCGAGGCCTCAAAGATGGAGACAGAGTTCGAGACTGGCTGTGAAGAAACGTGCAAGGACATCCTTAGGAATCTCATGTATAACAGCTAAGAAACCAAGGAAAGCCAAAAGGCCTAAAAACTACGCAAAGGTTTCTAGAGGACAGTTGGTAACGGTGGTTCCTGCTGACTGTCCGCAGATCCAACTTAGCCACGATCAGTGCGAAGAATTAAAGGAAGCTATCGCAAGCAAGATAGACGGACTACAAATTGGAGAAGACATTCATCCGAAGTTTGACGGAGCACTCTACAAACTCGGTGGATGTCTGGTGTCTTGCTTGGAGAACCAAACAGTGGACTGGTTCAAGATCATTACACCGAGCATCATGATCGAAGAGGATCTAACCCTACGAGCTTGTGAGACCAGTGAACTAACAAAAATCACCAGCATCGGAGCCTTCTTTCCAGGAAAGGCTCTGCCTGCAAAATATTATCTCAACTGGCTCTAGATACAAAATCAGTTAATAACTGGTATTAGTAGCTGGAACGTATTTAACTTTAAGGCTTTGGAAAGAGGATCCTTCGGAGTGTTAAAGCTTCTTGTGGCATCTACGTCATTACATTTAGGCATCTGGCTTCGAGCACCAAGCCTGCTCCAGAGGAATGACAAGACAAAGCACCAAGAACTGGGACTTCAAAAGAGAGGGAAACTAAGGAATCCTCCTCTTCTACAAGGAGTGCAAGGTCGGGGTCGAAGCCGTCGGCCATGTCAGGAGGTGAGGACAAACCAAAGGATCCAGTGAAAAAGTGGGAAAACTGGGCCACATTCGCGGTCTGGGGGCCAGACATCGGTCTCGGGGCACTCCTTAAACCCAAGCAGGGGGTCGAAAGCAAGGTCGACCAGTGGGGAGAAACCAAAAGACAAAGTGAAAGCTGAGTCTGATGGAGGAATCCTACCATCAGCTTCGCCAGGAAAACCACCCTCCAGGAAATAACATTTAAAAAAAAAATTATGAAACTGCTGCAGATCGACATCCAAACCACTGCATAGCAGCATGTGTTGTATTGTAACAGTACATAAAAGGTAAGGATATAGATATTATTCTAATACTTGAACCTTATTTACTTGATGGCAGGATCAGGGGATTGAGAATAATTCCGTACCCACATACCCTAGGGCCTGCCTACTATACAAGAATAAACTAAAACTGCTGCCTCTATGGTAATTCTGTTCTAGAGATCATGCAGCAGCTAAATACACCCATCAAGGGGACAGTAAACCTATAATCATAGCGGCAGTTTATCTGCCATATGAAAATCCAGAAACTGCAGAAGGAATCGAGAGAATCTTAAGCTGCAGTGACGAAATCATAGCTGCCCTGGATGCTAATGCACACAACGAGATCTGGGGAAACTCAAACACCAACTCTAGAGATGAGAAACACTTGGAGACAATAATTAAATATGATCTTGATATTCTGAATAGAGGGGATAAAACAACCTTTTGTAATAAGGTTAGATCGGAGATCATAGACATAACACTAAGGACTCAATGAATGTGTGTGATAAAAGGAAGAAAGGACTTTGTTTGCCTTCTTTAGGCTATGGCAATCTACTGGCAGACTCTAATTAAAAAATTGCAATTTTAGGTGTAAAAATGTATTTAAGTTAGGATATTTGAAACTGAGCTATATGATACTTACATATTAACAGTTGAATAAAAATGTAGTCTGCCTATGATAGGCCATGGCAATCTACTGGCAGACTCTAATTAAAAAATTGTAATTATAGGTTTAAATATTTATTAAAGTTAGGAGGTTTGAAACTTAGTTATATGATATTTATATATCAGCAGTTAAATAAAAAATTATTCTGCCTATGATAGGCCGCGGAAATCTAGTGGCAGACTCAAATTCAAAAATTGACTATAGTTAGGGAATTTGAAACTTCACTGTATGATACTTATATATTGGTGGTTAAATAAAAATGTAGCCTGCCCATGTTAGGCTGGGGCCATCTTCTGGCAGTTTCAAAATAAAAAATTAACCAAAGTTAGGAGGCCTGAATTTTCACTACATAATCCCTTCTTACCATTTATTCATTAAAAATGAAGTTTGCCATCCAAAGGCCGTTGCTTTCAGTAGGCAGAGTGGGCTTGAATGTAAGAAGCTATTGCGAAAAAAAGATTGAAGTATCACGTGATCGCTTATATTATCATTTATTATTCGGTTGTTCAATAATCAACCTATGAAGACCGAACAACTGTTTTTTTAAGATAAATACATACATAAATAAATTCATTTTAAAAACATTACAATTTTTTTAAATAATAAAGATGTATTTTTTTTTTATTTGATTAATATTAATAAGACTAGGTGACTATTTCCACATGCATTTACTACTTTTTAGTTCCTTATTTCATTTTATTGATATATAATAAATAATAGCTGATGTACCTGTCTTTGACGGGTGTATAGTTAAATTTAATTTAAATTAAATTAAATTGAACTTTTTTTTAGGCCTTTTTATCAATCCGTAGAAAATATTTTAAAACCAAATTTTAAAAAATCCCACACAATTTGTATGCAAAAAATATTTTAAAACTCACAAACTTTGGTTCAATAAAAAGCGGCTGGTACCTATTCTTTATTACAATAGTTCAATATCAAAATACAAAGCCGGTTCAAGTACCAAGTAACTGTAGAAAAAAAATTATAAAACCCAAAGAAATTCATGCCAAATATTATTCCAATAATTCAGTATCAAAATACGAACTCAGGTCAAATTCTAAGTAAACCGTAGAGAGAAAATAAAAACAAAACCCAAGGGTGTTGGTACCAAATCGTTATCAAAATAATTCAATATACGTAGCCGAATCGAATTCCAAGTTTGTGACAATCACCCAACCAAATACGGTTTCAATAAATTCTATCGAAACAGTAAATCAGTAATTCAAATCAATATCAATAATCAAAGCCTATTCAAATCCAAAAGTTCCAGTTGAGTTGTGATAACTTTCTACTCAATATTTTGATTTCATTTAAAGTCTACCAACAGTCTACCATTAGCCATTGCTGAGCTTACCTCTGACAAAATGTTGTTGGACAATGCGGACATACAGACAATAATTTTTTTTAAAGTGGATTTGGTGTCTGTAATGTATGAAAAGGAAAGATATCATGTAACGGGTTGATTTTATTCATTGTACCAACAAAACCTTTATTTTATTTATATAGATAATGTAATAAATTTCCATTTATTTCCTAAATATCTAAAGAATATTTTAAACAAATCGTAAATTATTTTTATGATAATATTTTCTTTTTTGAGAATTAGTAAGACGGGCAAAAAAGAAAAACAACTAAGTCCTCATAAGTAAATAACACAAATATATATATATTATTTATTTGACGCGAAAAATTCCTGAAAGGATGTATTCTGTCCTATCCTGACATAATTCCCGTGTTATTATAAATTTTATATATATATATATATATATATATATATATATATATATATATATATATATATAAAATTTATAATAACACGGGAATTATGTCAGGATAGGACAGAATACAAGAAATTTCTGAAAAGTGCGGTGCATGTGGTGGTCAGTAAGGAACTTCGGTCCAGGAGGAAGTAGACGGAGGAGAGCAGGCAGCAGCTAAAGTTCTAGTAGTAAGCAGTACTATGTTCCTGCACAAGGACAAACACAAGTATACCTGGGTAAGTCCTAAAGGAGCAAAAAGCCAAATCGACCATGGGCTGATAGACAAGAGGCATCAAAGCTCCATAAGGAGTTATCGTGGAGCAGATTGTGATTCGGACCATACTCTGATTAGAATCAAACTCTGTCAGAGGCTGAAGCAAATCCACTGAATTGGGGACCAACTGGAAAGAAAGAGGTACAATGACCGTAATTTTAAAAAATCCTATAGTACAAGCTGAAAAATAAATTCGAACCCTTGAACTCAGAAGGCCTCACAGTTGACCAACACTGGGAGGCACTAGAGTCAGGGCTAAAACAAATAGCTAAGGAAGTAACAGGGATTCAGGAAAAAAGAAAAGCCAAGAAATGGTTCACAGAAGCATGCGAAAAGGCAGTGGAGGAAAGAAGAAAAGTCCTCTGCTTACAAACTGATCAAGCTATGCTGAAGAATGGTTCTCCAAAACATACAATTTTGAGAATGTGCAAGATAACAGAAGTATGAAATCGGTAGTTGTATTTTGCTCTAACTTTATATTTTTTATATTTTGAGTAAACAAAAACGAAATAATAAAAAAAAAAGAAAAAAATCAATGTATGGTGAAAAAGCATCAATGACAAACAGAACATTAAATGTTAAGAACTTATAATAATATATATTTAAAACAACCTAAAAGATTTAACATGCAAATCAACCTAAAGTAATTGATATAAGGATAAATTTATAATAGCTGACCTCTAATTCATTTAATTTTTGGACGCGGGGAGTGAATTTGAAGTTGTCAATATCCATTGCGAAAGGAGGTTGCCATTCCTAAAAAAAAGAAAAATAGCAGATGGTTAATATTTTACCATTATATTTATATTTATTAGATATAAACAATTATAAATGAATACAAATTTCTAAATAACTAAGTACTTAATCCATATTCCTCAACGTTTTTGTCATCAATAGTACAGGAGAAATACACATTTCACCACAAAAAAAATAAGTTAATGGAGTTCGGCTCTAGCCGTTGACAGGGACACATCGGTTCTACGTTTGTCACTTTTGATGTGTTTTTTTGTTCATTTAATCAAGCTGAGACTTTGTATGTGGGCGGAGATGTATGCCGGAGATTGATTTCTGAAATTTAGCAAAAATCGAGTGAAAATCTTTGCCAGGATGAAAAGGCAAAGAACTTGGGTGTGCTTGCCGGACAGGGTTTTATATCTTTGCAGCTAGTGATATGAAACCCCTCACCACCTTCAGCAAGGTCAGTGTCATCCAAATTAGCTGTCATCGAAGGAGCCCAACGTAATTTATATTATTCTTGGTTGTTATCTTCCCCCCCCCCAAAGAATGCATTTTCGTTTATTATTATAAATTTGTTTCAACAGCACATTGACGCACACATACATTTATTATCTATTTAGGTTTCTTGATCTACTTATATATTTTGGTATTTTAATCTATAAATAATATTTTTAGTCTATTTATATAATTAAGTATTGTAATCTATTTATATAATTTTAACCTACTAAAATTATTTAATCTTTCCACATATTTTTAATCTATTTATTTAATTTAAACTTACTGACTTAATTTTATCTGTATATATATATATATATATATATATATATATATATATATTTATTTTTTTTTAAATTCATTTAATTTTAACATGAAGGCATAATTTTAACTTTTTATAAATCATTTTAACCTATTTATTATGGATGCGAAACTTGGCCGCATACATTCAGGGATGAGCAGCGTCTTAAGGTTTTTGAAAATAAAGTATTGCGTAGAATATTCGGACCAAAGAAGGATGAGTTAACCGGAGAGTTTAGACGGCTACACAACGCCGAATTGCGTGAGCTGTATCCGGGTTATATAATTGAGGTAATTTCATCACGGCGAATCAAATGGGCTTGTAAAGTTGTTGGGCTTAGTAACGAGAGAATTCCTAAAAGATTAATATTTGCTGTGCCGAATGGTAAGCGTCCGAGGGGTAGACCGAAGTGAAGGTGGGAAGATTGCATTAAAGCCGATCTGAAGGGACTGGGTTTGGACGGCGAACGGTGGAGGGAGATGTGTAACAAGCGATTGGTGGTGTCAGCATCGAACCTTCGGGTTCGCTAAGCCTTATTATTATTATTATTATTATTTTAACCTATTCATTAACTTGTTCTTTTAAAACCTATTCAATGAAGTCAAGTAAAGGCTTCGAATTTCTGCACTTTTATTTATCCTATTGTGTATTAACATATTATTGTAAGGATAAGAAGTTATGGTCTCAAATCCAAGTAATTTCAAAAGTATTGACATAGGTCAAAAGGTATGGGTTCTGAGATCAGGAGGTCCAGTCCAAGCAGTGGAGGCCTACGTGAGGTCTGTGGCTGATGTGGGAGGCGGTGATAATAAGTTCCTCAAGGTAGAATGGCAGGAAGAAGAAGGCCAAGTATTGGGCAAAACTGTATCAATAGATGATGTGTTTCCCAGTTTGCCTAAACCAGCACAGACATCCGGACAGCCAGGTGGTGAAATAGAAGAGAGGGAACAGGACCCTTCCCCAGCGAATAACAACAAAGTATGCCTTATCTGAGGGCTGGGTTTCAAGGGTGATAGAGGTCTCAGAACCCAAATAGCTAAGAAGCATCCCAGGGAGGCAAATAACATAGACTGAGGGGCTTAATTAGTAATGGATTAAATGATAGAAATGGAGAGGATGGGGGAGATGAAGTAAAAAGAGAAATAACCAGATGGTCGGCTACCTTTCAGGACTTTCTTCGGCAAAATAATATTGATCATGTAAAATTCGACGAAGCAATGGGCAGTTTTTAAAAACTAGTTGGCCCGTGCCAAAATTTGCACAGTTTATTGTTCAGTGATCAAATAATAAATTAATAAGAAAATAAAACAATGCAACATATCATAAAATAAATCAATTGTTACTTTCTCGCTAAATATAATAGACAATGGAAACAAAATTAAATTAAAAATTCATAATGTTGGTTAATCTTAACTCTTTTGCGTGAATTTTCGGGGAGATTGGTCTATTTTGCCTGCCTGAAAGAGAAGGAAACCTTCAAAATTGGTGGCTCAATCTTGAGAATTGGTGAAGAATTAACGATGATGTGTCTTACCGACAAAAAATACCTTAAATAAATAATATAAACTAATCCTCTTTTGGTTATAGGGGCATCAAGTCGGCGAAATGAGACATGTATTCCATGACAGTACTACAATTAAAGTAAGGTTGTGTGGATACGAATCCTTTGCCTTGCATTATCTTGAAAATAGTACGTTTTGGGGCTTAAGAACGCAGGGTCCTGCTGTACGCATCAAAATCTTCAAAGCCCAATTTGTTTCGTATCGATCTACAGACCTACCACCGTTCCAATATTGAAGCCTAGCAAAATGTTTGTATCGACTTTATTTATTTTAGAAAGAAAAACAAAAGCGGAGAGTACGATTCGCTAACCCTTTGTGAAATTCTGAATCCAACGGTACTCCATTCATGGTATTTGAGCATGAAAGGAGCTTTGAAACTCAACGTACAATCCATAATCAACCAGTGATATAATAAATAGAACTTTTGTTATTTTAATAGTATTTATGATTTGTTAGCTGTAATTTTTTTAGCTTTAGTTCGGTTAAAAATGCAATTCAAAAATTTTATAATAGCTCAACATTGCCATAAAATAATTTCTATTCAAAGTTGAGCAGTAAGTGAAAGTCGTGTCTTGCGCGCACCAGATATTTTTTATCCTGTTTGACAACACTAGTCCATATACCATATCATTAACAATACCACATTTAACAATTACCATTATGCAATACATATATTTTATGAAAAAAAAAAATTATTCGAATGCTAGAAATACAAGACTAAATCGCACACATATATCAACACAATTCCTTGTATATAGACAAAAGGATAATAAGACAAAGTTAAAAAAAAAATAGACAAATAAATAGATAAAGGACAAAGGACATTCTAGATTTACAATCAATTGTATATATTGTATAATTATATTTCATATTTACAATCATCCATACAATTGTAGGGATCATACAAGTGATAATGGATGATTCCTAGGGAGTCCAGAATAATATTCTCAGCCAATATCGCAAGCTCCCCTACATCAACACCTAGTTCCTTGAGGAAGCTCTTCGTTCTTTTTGGGATTGTTCCGCGAGACGCAAACCAGAGACCTCTTTTGGTGAACTCTCTCTTTTAGGAAAGGGATACATTTATCATATATGTTTTTCTTTTCCCTTTCTACTTCACCCGCCTGATCGAGGTCATTGCTCTCAAAGTGGACAGTTGGATCCAAGATCAGAGCTGTCTTTCTTGTCCTGGGAAATGCAAGAATGTCCGCATACCTGGTTGAGCCTTCACTGTCGATGCAATAGACCTCGTTGAGGCAGTTGAATTCCCTTTCTCTAAGGAGCCTCACCAATTCAAACATGACTCTATGGTGCCGGCGTGCTATGAGGAGGGAGTTGTTGGGGCATTTTCCGAGCACATGGGCTGGTGTTTCAGACTCTCTGCCGCACTTACGACAGAAGGACCCAACTTCCTTTGACTGTCCTGGGACTTCACGCAGAGTTGCGTAATTGATGTTGAGTTTTAAGGCGTTGGACCATTCTGATTCCGAAAGCACTTGCTTTTGGCATATGTATTTATTAGCTTTCGGGATTTCTTTAAAATGCCAAACTCCAAAGCCTTGCCACCTGCAGCTGGCCCATTCTTCAAAAGAATTTTTTCTTAGCGACTATCGCAGAGCTTTCATATTTCGGTGGTCCTGATCCACTCCCAGTCTTCTTTCTGCATATTCTGTGATTTCCGCATTATAATCAAATGTGTACTGGAACATGGCATCCGATGCTTAGGACTGTCGCTGGGTAATAGATCAATGTTGCAAAGGAGCCTCCCATTGACAGAGGATCAGTCTCAATCCTCGATACATCCTCGGTGCATACATTATGATGTATTAGCAGAGAGCCCGATAATTGCCTTGATACTCCTGCAGATATTTGTATCAATTCCTTCCAATATCGCACGGCTTATCTTTGTGAGAGGCGCTGTCTTGAGAGGGTAGGTAAGTCCCGGGAACATGTAATGTTGTTGACAACATTTTTTGACATGTAACAACATAATTGCTCCAGTTTAAGAAGGCAAGAGCTTACAAATTTATTCAAATTATTGTTCAATTCGGTCATCATTTCCTCATTCAGTACCAGCTCTCCCGAGAATGTACATCCTAAATACTTTAAAGTCTCACCATCCTTTGCTGAATCAATGGTTTCTTCGTTCTCTAGGGAGAACTTTGTTTGTTGCAGCTCTCCTTTATCGATTATTAAGCCCATGCTTTATTTTTTATTTACAGCCAGACCAATTTCAGTAAGGCTTCGGAAAGGAAGACGAAATGGAGATGCTTTCGTACCACTTGTAACAAAAACGTTTCTATAAGTAAAGGAACGTGGTTAGAGGGGTTGAGAATTTTGTTTTTAACAGCTTTAAAATTAATTTATGAGTGGTCCCATAATTTAACAACGATACGGTGGGTCAAAGAGTAGCTGAAACTATCCAAGACAACAACGATAATGTTGGAAAAATTTTTTAAGAGAGGTTTGTGCCAATGACATGTTATAGAGGTCAAGTAAAAAAAATTGGAGGGCCTGGCAAAGCGTCGAAACAGAAGAGTCTTTTTTCTAATAGAAAAAATCATGTAGGGAGAGTTCTATCTGAACAATGAATGTTTGGTGGAGTTTGCTGAGAAACAGACGAGTGTTTCATCGTCAAAATAAACGATGATTTTCTTATTATTGTGGGAATGATTACATTTCTTTTTGTCAATTTCAATTTCAAATAAAATAGTTTTGTTATTATTACATTTGTTTTCGTCTATTTCATATACATGTTGATTATGTAGTAAAATAAAAGTATTTTTTTAACATTACATTTGTTTTTGTTTACAATTTCAATAATATGAATATGATACAATAAATATGAATACGAAGATAGGGATTATCAGTGCCTTATCAGTGATCAGGTTATAAACATTGGCAGTTTGCAGTCGATCCCGACTGCATACTAGACAAGTACCTAAAACCACAAATGGGGAAGGAAATAGAAATAATAGAGGAAACGAAGAGGTATAGGTTAGACATTCTGGGAATTCGCAAAATAAAAAAGAAAGGATCTGGTGTTATAAAGGATGAATGGAGGTCATTGAAACCTATGGTTAATTAAAAATTAGAAGAGAGAAGGAATGTTACCTTTACAAAAATTTTAAGTATAGTTATCAAGTTCAGATATGACCAGAATTCATACTTTAGAATAATAAAAGAAATAAATAAAAAATTTATGATAAAATATTACAATCCTAATACATAAAATAAAAGTAAGTTAAATAAACTGAAGTAACTGATTAATTTAAGTTGATATCATACAATTTAACCTGACTAATATAAAATTAACTTCATAAAAAAAAAAAGGAAAATAGTTGTAACTAATATGAACTGCCAACATTATTCTAAAATATAAATTAGTAGCACTGAAGAGAAGTTGGTTGGGTGTTCAGTTGAAACAAAGAACAAAGTAAAACTAAATAAATAATATTTACTTTTATTTTTGCCAAGTCAGTCTTAGGGCACCTTTTGTGATAACAGCCCTGAAACCTGGCCGAAATATAGGAAAAAATATATAATTTGTTTATTTTTACTTTTTTCTGACTTAACACCCTTTTTTCTCTTCAATATATCTATATATCCCCACATATATTATTACAGTAAGGCTCGCAATCGGTTTTGTACCAAATATAAGCTCCTCACATGCTCAAATACCATGAATGGTGTACCGTTGAATTCAGAATTTCATGGGGGGTTAGCGAATCGTATTCTCCGCTTTTGTTTTTCTATCTAAAATAAATAGTCGATACTAACATTTTGCTAGGCTTCAATACTGGAACAGTGGTAGGTCTGTAGATTGATACAGGACAAATTGGATCTTGAAGATTTTGATGCGTACAGCAAGACCAATTTTGAAGGTTTCCTTCTCCTTCAGCCGGGCAAAATAGTCTAATCACCTCGAAAATTCAGGCAAACAAGTTATGAAAGAAAACAAACTTTATTTGCGAATAACTAAAAAATCAAACACTTTTCCCTTGGTTATGCCCATGATTATATAAAAGATTACTAAATTCCCTACAAAAAGAAAAAAAAAATATCGAAATCGGACAATTTTTAACAAAGATACAGCTTACTGAAATTTGTGAACATATTGGTTCCAAACAAAAATGAAGATTTAAATTAATTTTGGTTTTCTTTGTCTATTATGTATATCGATAAAGTAACATTTAATTTCTTTATCTTTTGATACCTTGCATTATTTTATTTTCTTATTAATTTGACATTTGATAACAATATGCTGTGCGAAATTTTCGCACGGGCCTACTAGTTCATTAATTCATTATCGTGAATTGGTAACTATAATAGTAATAAACAATTAACAATATATAATATAATTAGTGGTATTATCTTAATTAAAGATTGATTATAATTAGTAAAATTATAGACATCAGCTCATCAAACCAAGTATTACAGACAAGTACAAACTAAATAACATTTAACAGAATAATTTGCAAGTTAACCTAAATATATTCACATTCCATAGTAATTGAAACCTTTTTAAATTTATTTGTTATCTATTTAAAACATCTATATGACTCTGCCACCAATGGTCATTACTCTTCCTCATAAGGATCATTGACATCAGCGGAGTAAGGAAAACAAGGATATAAAAATGTAAATACAATTATCTCAACCAATGAAGAATAATTTTTAATGGAATGTTAGTAAAAACAAAGTAAATTGGATAGATATGAATACCTCTTAATAAACAAAAATTAATTGTTTACTTACAGGTGGAGGTCTAATTTTGCAAATCCCGCATTTTTCTGCTTCAGGCCTAATTCTATCAATATATTGCAAAGGATTTTCAAAATCTTCATCAGTTGGTTCAAATACCGGAGCTTCAGGAGGAACATTGAATTTAAAATCTGAATACTTATTTGAAGACAAGAGATAGCCTTTAATACTCATTGGATTCATTTTCAATGATTATAAAATAAATTATAAAAGGTAAAAACAAAACAAAAATAAAATAACGGAAACAAATAACAGTCAATACAAAAGTTATCAACTACAACATTTTGACTATCGAAATTAATTGCGGGAACCTACCCTGTAAAACTAAGTTTACAGAACATGTTTTTAATAACGGCCAGCAGAGTGCAGTCCATGAGGTATATAAACAGCGCTTCCACACTCGGTTTTTATATTTTCCCTTTTATTCTCTCAGTATAAGCCTAAAAATCTCTTAATTTTTCCTACGCAAACATAAATTTATATGTTGAAGGTATATATTATGTGGTGTAAATATGATTTAAGTACGGTTTGATGAGGGGGCCGGTCTCGCACCTTCTCGCTCTCTCTCTTCCCGCCGTTCGTCCTGGGTCCAGGAAATAGCCGAAGGGCTGTAGTTCTGGAGGTCTGGTCAGGAGGTAGGTCGTAAGCCGTGTGGCTCGCTTCGCTCGCTAGCATCTGTCCTTTGGCCGTAGATAAGGCCGTCTTAGGGAGAGGGTAGTGCAGGATGAGACAGGGCCCCCCATGTTATTCACATAGGTTAAAATAAAACAATAAAATTTTGGATGTAAATCCAACAATTGCCTTTGTCTTTTCCGCATTCAACTTCATCTTGTTGGCTCTCGCCCAGTCACAAATCATACCCAAGTCTTCTTGAAGTTTTTCTGTGGCTGATGATAGGTCGGAGGGCGGGAAGGACAGGTATATTTGGAAATCATCAGCATAGATATGGTATTGGGAGTGACGGATCAGGAGAGGAAGGTCATTAATGTAAATAGCAAACAGAGAAGGAGATAGAGAGGAACCTTGAGGGACACCACAAGAGATGGGGAGGGTCTTAGATGGGATTTGACCTGGGACGACTACATACTGGGACCGATTTGATAGGAAGGATTTGAACCAACGCAGGACACTGTTGGATAGAGGAAGGTTGTGCAATTTCGTAAGGAGGATGTTATGGTCAACAGTGTTAACCGCTTTGGAAAAATCTAGAAGGATGAGGATGGTAAGGTTTTGGTGTTCAATGGAGTTTTGGAGGTCATGGATTATTTTAAGGAGAGCGGATTGCGTTGAGTAGCCAGGTTCAAAGCCAGATTGGAATGGATTGATAAGGGAACGTTCTTCCAGGAAGTAGGAGAGTTGATTTTGGACAAGGCGTTCTAACGACTTTGAAAGGTTGGATAGGAGAGAAATAGTACGGAACTCATGCAGTGAGGTAGGGTTTGGAATTTTATTCAAAGGTCGGACTAGGGCTGTTTTCCAGGAGGATGGGAATATAGAGTTTTGCAAGGAAAAGTTGTAGATATGGTAAAGAACAGGAATTAGGACAGGAATGCTGAATTTTATTAGTTTTACTGGGATATTATGAGGACCATAATCATTAGTATGGGATTTTAGGATAATGGAAAGTAATTCATCGTAGGTCACATGGGAGAAAAAGAAGTCTTCGGGGTTGAAATTGTGGTGTTTAATATCGAAAGTAGGAGAAGAATTGTGAGTGAAAGATAGGAAATGGTCATTAAGATCATCTGGAGTCACCGAGATGGAACTGAGTGTATTGGATTCTGGTAGGGATAGGTCACGGAGTATTTTCCATTTGGATTTGGAATTAGGAGCATTGGAAAGGGCATTATGGAAGTAGTTGGATTTAGCAAGTCGGATTGTGGATTGGGTTCCATTGTAAAGTTTCTTAAAAGGCGTATAATCAGCTGGCAAACGGGTTTGGCGGTATTTGCGCCTTGCTGCATCCCTTCTTTTCATCATTTTCTTTATTCAAGAGTCAGCCAAGGTGCAGTGGGACGACGTAAGGTTTTAGTTTTCAGAGGAACATGGGTGTCTAATAAGGATTGTAGGTTTGAGATTAGGGTAGATACCATAGGATCAATAGAGTAATAGGAAGATATGATGTCCCATTGGAAAGAATCAAGGTCAGATTGTAGGGATTCATAGGACAGAAGGTTTAAATTACGGTATGAAACTATTTTGGATGTAAAGAATTTCACGGGTAGGGCATATGTAATTTGGATCAGGTCGTGTGATGAAAGAAATGGAACGGGATGTTGAGAAGAGGTGAGGATATTGATGTGCGAGTCGGAGATGTAGAGGTCTAACCAAATGTCGGAAAATTGCGTGTGATGGGTAGGAGAATAAGGAACAAGATAAAGGTTAAGGGAAAAGAGTAGGTCGGTTAGGAAGTATTTTTCAGGATATTGTGAAAGAATATTCACGTTGAAATCACCGGTGATAATAATATTGTTGTAAAGGGAAACCAGGTTGACAAGGGAGGATTCAAAGAAGTTATCAAATGGAACACAAGGAGGACGGTAAACTAATGCAAATAATAGAGGAGAGGTAATAGCGTAAATTTCTACGAAAATGTATTCCATGTGAGGAAAGCCATGAGAAGGAGGCTGCAGGAGGATTTTGGCCTTAAGACTATCGTGGACATAAAATCCGACACCACCTCCCGTGCGATAAGATCTGTCGTGGCGCAGGAAAGAATAATTGGGAAGGGAAATCTGGGAGGATGGGATAAAAGGTTTTAACCAGGTTTAAGATACTGCTGTTATGTGATAAAAATGATCAAGGAAGTGATTCTGAAATTCATCGTAGTGTGCAGTAAGGGATTGTGCATTGATTTGACAGGACTTCAGGATATTAGTCATGACTGGAGAGTTGGGAAGTCGAATTTAGGATGAAGGATAGGATATAACATTCTTTAAGCATAAAATCAAATTTAGAAATATAAAAAACAATGTAAACATAAAATAAACTTTGAGATAAAAAATATAAATTTCCAGTATTTCGAAATAAATATTCTGTTGAAATTAATTTATAACATAAGAAAATATAAATATCCCCTTCGTTTGGATAAATTGATAAAGATTGAAAAAAATTAAGATCAAGTTCTAAATAATTTATGCAAGAAATTTAAATTAAAATATTTCTGATGAAGAACAATATATATTATTAATACAAATTTTTAAAAAAAGTCGCATTTATAAAAAATAAAAAAAGCTGGAAATGAAAATAAGAATATTTCTAGCGAAAAAAAATAAATTCACTGCAAACTGAATGTGACTCGTTGTATACAACGTTCAACTGAAAACGTCCAAATCGCTTGGTTTTCCAATGGTTACTACTGGATATCCATCTGACTTCCTGCAGCGAATTTTACCCCCACTAAACCATACATACTTTATTTTTGCAGTCACCCTCTTCTGCCTGACTAACCAATAAAGGTGTTTATTGGCGGGCGTCGAAGCTTCACTCACGTAAACGCGGTGCGAGTTGTTCTCTTCCCAGCCTATATGGCGTGTAGAGAAATCTCTCTTCGCTCTTCGTTGCCGCACCAGCTCATCTCTCACCGTTTGTCTGACTAATCTGACTATAAATGGGCCTGGAGTCCCTTCTTGCTTGCGCTTGAGTCTCATGGCGTGATCAAGATCATCCGGACTTAACTTGACGCCCAGACCCGCTCCGACGCTAAGGATGGTGCCAGTTATAGTTTCACTCGGCTTCTCCGGAATTCCTCTGATTTCTATTGAGTTTTTTAGTTGAAATTGTTCTGTGGAATTCAGACGACTTTCCAGCTCGACTATGTTTGTTTTCAACATGTTGTTTTCCATGGTTAATTTTTCCACATGTTTGTTTTGCTCTTCTAGGAGGGTTTCAATTTTTAATAACCGGTCCATGTTCTCGTAGGATAGTTCTGATTGTTTCTAAAGGGTTTCTTTTATCTCTTTCAGTTCGCCTATACCTTGAAGCTTGGACTTCATTTCCTTCACTTCATCGGCCAGCGACCTCAGTAGGTCTATCACAGTACTAGGCTCAGAAGCTGGCACTGTACGCGATACTGATTCGCAATCGGTACATTTCCATTTTTTTTGTGGTTTCATTTAGGCCTTCTGGGTCTGTAAAATCTATTTTCATGCATTTAGCATGAAAAATATTTTGGCATGTGATACAAGTTAATTTAGCCTTGTCTTCTCGATCTACTGATTTTCGACATAATTTACAGTTGACCATTTTCAAAAAATAAAATAAAACAAATAAGTAAATATCACGTTTATTTTCTCACTCGATTATCACAAAAAATAACTGCAGTGAAGCTTTAATATTAATCAGATATTACGAGATGAAATAACTGAGAAAAGAAAGGAAAAAAAAGTAGCAGGAATGTCTTCAAGTAACTGTTTTAATAATGTTATATAGCGAGAAGCACTAGTTCAGCTCTTAACTGATAGAGAGATACTCTAAGACTGATTTTAATAGGATTTATTCAAAAATTTTTAAAAGGATTGGAAGTAGGCTGATTGGTCTATAGGATGATGTGTTATTGGAAGGTTTGGCTGGTTTCAGGAAAAGGACAATGGTGGAATGTTTCCATAAGAGAGGAAAATGGGTAGTTCTTAGGATGCAGTTGTATATATATATGAGAGGAATATGATCGCTTTGGGTGGTGGTAGCTGATGGAGGATCTGTAGGGTTAGAAGGTCGTATCCAGGAGATTTGCGGGAAGATAATTTTTGTAAATGATATTTGACCTCAGAAGGATGAACTGCTTTTGGTGGTAGGGAAAGTGGAATTAGTGAGGAGAGGAATTTTTCTAATTTTGTAGTATGGATGGAATGGGGTTCAGGATGAGGAGTAAAATGTACAGGAGAGGTGTTTGGCGAATTCCTCGGCTTTGTCTACATCAGACGCTGCCCAGGTACAAGCACGTTGGCGAAGGGGATGGGGAATATGATGGTATTTTAGGATTTTTTTTGTGATATTCCAAAGGGAATTATTATGAACTGAATTATTGGGTATTAGAGCTGGATTGGTTAGGAGGGCAATACGCTGATGCAAGGGTAATAGGAAAGGAGAAGGTTTTGATTATGATAGCTGTGGATTGCAGGAAGTCATGGGTAGGTAATGGGAGTAGGTGGTGAGAGAGGGGTTGGTGTACAATGACTGCAGTGCCGGCATGTGCTCTACCGTCAGCATGGTCAGTACGGTATGCGGGGTATTGTGGTATTTTTATAGTTTGTTTATTGGTTAGTCAAGTTTCCGTAATAAGGGCTACATCAAAGTTCTTGTCTAGTAGTAGAGCTGTCAGTTCATTAGTGTGATTTCTAACACCATTCGCAATTCAAAGGGGAATGGATAAAGGTTTGGAGGAAATCATTTATGGATTTTTTAAGGGAGGGATGAGATGGGATACTAGATTTGTAAGGAGAGATATCAGTGGGGTAACAAGAGATTTGAATTCAGTGAGGAAAGATGCCAACAAACTCGTAAGGTCTGTGGCTTGTGATGGAGGAGGAATATGAGGAATGTGATGTTGATGAGGGTTTTGTACTTTAGGAGATATAGGATGTTGAAGTTGGGATTCGGGTTCCTGTTGCGGCAGGGCCTCACAGTTGTCAGTCGGGACTCTGCCCCCTAGTAACTGTGAAAAAGAAACTTTAAAGTCTACTTTTTTAGCAGGTCCTCTTCTGGGCTTAGAAATTTCTTCTTGGTTCCTGGGTTTGCGAAATTTTTTTTGTTGATATTTTTGTAGACTTGGCAGCCCTTGTAGTTGGCAGGATGTCCTTCCAGGCATAAAGCACATACAGCGGGAGTAGATTTCAGTTTATTACATTCTCTGGTCTTGTGTGACTCTCCCGCATTTCACGCATCTTGGAATGTGGTGGCAGTAAGTCTTGGTGTGACCGTATGCCTGGCAATTATGACACTGGTCAATTTCTCTTTTAGTGTATGGTTTTTCAACCCTAACACTAGTATAATATAATCTTCTAATTTCATATATTTATCAACTCCTGCTGAGGGTTCTAAATCTATGAAAAATATGGGTAATGGTATTTTTCTATTAGCACCGGATACATCTCTGTCGTCCTTCATAAAATTGGTGACCTGTCGGACTTTGAAACCTAGGACCGTCAGTTCTTCTTGGATGACCTCGGCTGGAGTAGAGGGGTGCAAATTCCGGATTACTACCCTCAGGGAACGCTCTTGCCTCAGTTGGTAGGTGTGAAAATCTGCCTTTGTGTCGGATAGATATTTAATAATTTGGCGGTATGAATCAGCTGTAGCTGTGGATATTTTAATATCATTAGTCCGGCTTAAACAGGAGTAGCTACCAGGAGTTGTAATTTTGTTTAAATGTGTGTATAATATCTCTGGGAATGGGTGCAGATTCCATCGCTTCTTTTTCATTTTGTAGTACTTCGTAAGGATTCGTGGTGAAAAAGGGAGACTCATCTATTGTGTCCTGAGATGATCCGGGCTGAGGTTGAGTGTCGGTCTTTTCGATTGGCAACTTTTTTTTTTCGCTGGTGACGAACGTGGTGTTGATCAGGCAGAGCGAGACCTCGTTATTACACCCTTAGAAGACATGAACTTAACCGACGTTATGGCCAGCTATATAGATTACTGAATTGAAAATCTAAACTTTCTATTGAAAACAAATTACTGAGCTAAAAGGCTAAATACCACATTCGAAAGAAATTGATAATTGAATAATTTTTTTTTTTTTTTCAATTATATTTGTTTATTTAGAAATATTACATTCTGTCACATCAAGGACATTTATAATAGTGTTCAGAGAAAGCACACTCACACTCTACATATTACATACAATTGAATAAAGGAGAAAAAAAGAAACATTTTTATTTAGGTCGAAAATGAATCTCCGAAAATAATAGACAGAAGCTATACGTATAACATATCGTTAGAAAGCGGATGATTTTAGACAAAACAATATCTAATATAGAAAGTCGTAGAAGGTAATGGAGAGTGACGAAAAAATTATAAATAATAATTTCTGAAAACTAAGATTTTTTAACGGAAATCACATGCTTCCAAGGAATTTTTTTTCGACATGGTAAGTGTTATCAGGGTGGTCTGGTCTATAAATGATGTAGTCACGGATGTATAAATATGGACGTTAAGTGAAGTGACTTTCTGTCAATAGAGCAATATCAATGTGGTTGTCATGAAGAAAATTGTCTCTGGGTGGTTTTGTAGACATTAGCATTCTATAAAATGACAGCAAGGGGCTTTGTGCTCATCGTGGCTAAAGGGAATTTCGGTAAGAATTCTTGGGAAGAGGGTGATTAGTGGCTTGACAGTCTCTTGGAGATCTTCCAGGAAGGACTTAAGGGTGGAATTGATAAAGTTAATCGGGTTTTGTTGGTGAGGTGGATTATGATTAGGAGTTTGTGAGAGGTAACTCTTATAATAAGGAGTGTCTGGTGGATGATGTGCCCGTCGTGATGTACGAGTAATGATCATGGTAATAAAAAAAAAAAAGATTCTATATGTTGATTACTGTACACAGTAAATATAAAGTTTCTGGAGTGAATAATAACAGAGATTATTCCAAGAAAACAGTATATAATAAGAGCTGAGTTGGAAACACAACCTTACGCATCAGCTGTCCTTCCCCTAAAGTATTTTTTTTTTCGGATTATTTGTTTATTGATAAATATTGCAATCTATCTCAATAAAGGACATTTATAATAGAGTTCTGAGAGCACATTCACACCATATTTACAAATTTAAAAAAAAATTAAAATAAATAAGGTAATTTTAAAATAATATAAAGCTAAATAAGAACAAAATAAAATATCATAGTGAAGGAAGATAATATAAATAATAGTAATAATATAATAAAAATAAATGAATAAAATAGAATTAAAATTATCTTTAAAAAAAAAAGTAATAAAAATAAAAATCTTAGACACAGGCATATCTATTTACAGTCGGCAATGGGAACTCCGAACCATACTTGTGGGGGGATAGCGAGGCTTCAGGAGATCCGTGCGCTTCTTCCTCAACCACTACACTGGTATTAAAAGCCAGCGGAGATTGAGAAAGGGCGCTACAACCACAGACACTCATGACTTGAGTGGAGAATCTGGCCATTGCCAGAACTCCAATATATACATGTTACAAAAGGTCACGGGGCCACTGACGTTTTAACCTGCGAATAGGATTGTAGGGATGAGTGGTGCTAGATAGGGATTGTGCTACGGGATTAGGGTGATGGGTAAAGTTCTGATGAAATTCGGAGAATTTGTCTGGGATAAGATCAAGAATAAATGGAATATTAAGGTCATTATGCAGGGTTTTATTGGTGACAAAAGTAACTTTAATTTTTTTTATTTGAAATAATTAACCACTTCACATTGTAATCAGAAAATTAATTACGGACCGAAACATATACTGATGTAATACATTAATTATCCTGCAAAGAGATATTATTTCAACCTTAACCTTAATTCAAACCTTAAACTCTAATAAACAAAGACAGTCCATCTTATATTCATATAATAAAAAACCCTAATTCTATTCTGGAAGCGTTATGCAAATTTGTAAACTTCTCAGGAATTAAACTATAAAAAATAAAGCCTGTTAATTAATTAGGATGGAGCAAAATAATCATTTGGAATAATTATTATCTAAAATTTTGCCTAATGGCATCTAGCTAAAGCATTTTAAAAAATAAAATAATAGTAATAATAAAAATAAATAAAATGTATGTGCCCGCTCGTTGGTGGTCGTTGTGAATTTCAGTCTTATGTCTTGTTCATGAACTTTATTTTTCATTGAATAATAGATTTCAAAAAATAAAACAATAAAATAAAAAGTATAGTAAACTTTTATAACACTATCCTTTGAAAAAATAATATATATTTTTTTAGGACGTTTTTAATGTTTCATTTTGCAAAAAAATCTTTATCTGATACTTTTTTATATTTCAATATGTAATTAATATCTAACTTCGAAAAAAATATAGAATAAAAGCTGTAAAAATATAAAAAATGATAACAATTTAATTTAAAAAAATCTTTCAAATGGTTGGTGATATTATTAGATTTTAATATTGAGGATATTTTATATTTTTATGACACTGTAATTGCATTTCTAATACCATAAACTCCTGTTATTTCTCTCTATTCCTTTTCTTTCCACTAGAATCTAATTTCTAAATGAATCTATTTTCTTATGTCAATCCGTTTGATTGTAATCGAATCAATATTTTGTAAAATCATACAAATGGTCTAATTTGACAAATCGAGTTTAGTTTGAAAGTTTTGTGGACCACAAATAACGGACATGTAAGAGGGGATTAGGAAATGTTGAATAGTAATTGATGGTCTAGAGTTGATCATCAATAAAGCAATTGAGTTGGATCAAGGACTCATTTCCTGGCACATACAGATGGAAATGCATAGTGGCCTGTAGTATTATTCTTCTACAATGAATATCGCATTTATCTTATTTATTTTCGCTGCAAGTGTTTTTTCGTCAAGAGGACGGAAGCACAAGAAAGGGATCGTCCTTGAAGAGGTTTGGAACGATTTGGCATACCAGTACCTGGAGAGGGAAGGGAGGAACCCAACCTGCCAAGGATGCACTCAGGTTAGGAATTATTTAGGATTACCAGATGTTAATCTCACAGACATTCGAATTGAAATGGCCAAACAAAACATACTGAGGAAACTGGGTTTGGAAAGAGCACCGTCCGTGAGGAAGCCGCATAAGACTTCTGTACCAAATCCGATAATAGACGGAGAAGTTTTCAGAATGGATAAGAACTTCAAACCAACGAGAAAACGCCGTCTATCAACTGAACAAGTTATAGTCATGACTCAAGGTAATATATTGTATTGAATACATTAATGTATTATTTATAGATTCTGTGTTTTAAGCGGTAAGAAAATGGAGTTTTTCTCAGTTGTGATTTTTGAACGTCTGATAGTGTAGTTAGAATGCCAGAATCAAAACCAATTTATTCAGTACATTAAATTAATTAATAAGCAATATTCAAGCTAATGATATAATGAAAAAACTTTTATATTTAACCAAATAGAAAAGTTTTCAACGAATTAATTGTTTTATGTAAAACTATGCCCGTATCTACAATTTATCTTTGGAGTTCTTTTTTTAAGAAAGCTGCATTATTATTAATTTCCTGGGGGTAGGACACACTTGTCTTCTTTTTTTTCAATAATGTTTCTTTTAAAGGTGACAGTAGTATAGGCAGGGAAACAATAAAGGTTTGTATATACTGTTCAGATGAACGAAGTCATTATTTGTATATGCTGTACTAATTAATGTAAATTATTTTATTAATTATGTTTCTTTCAGCTTCTCATATTCTTCGGTGAAATAGAAGGATAAAATTAAATTTAGTTCCATCCAATTTATAATTTCGTAAGAATTCTGATAATGGTAAAATTTTATTGAAACCTTAGAAATCAGTTGTAAGTGATAAACTAAGAATCAAATAAAATGAATAAAATTATCTTATGACCACGGAATCAAATTTGTTTACTTACTTTAAATCTTTGTGCATGTCCCTTCTCTGCCCTCTTATGAAATTTTATAGCTCGTTTCATCTTAAAAATCATGCAAATGAAAATAGCATTTTGAAAAGTGTAGTTTATTTATCGTCTGTTCAATTTTCCCCATGGTTCCCCAAGTTCTTCCCAATTGAAACCTTAAAAATGTGGCTCTCTCTATAAATTTATAGCTCATCCAAATTCATCTGAAAAATTGTCCTTCCCTCAGACATTATGATGGTGCAACTTGGACATCCTCTTTTGGACATCCATGAAATTATATCTTAAATCTGTTAAAATCGATTCATACATAACGCCTGTCAAATAATCAAATAAAAGACATATTTTTAGAGATGAGTAAAGATATTTATTTAAGCTAACATACTGCCTAATCAAGTTAAATAAGCTTTTCAAAACAGGTATAGGCACTAGTAGATCCAGGATTTAATTTTGGGGAGGGGGGTGGCTTCAGCCCTAAAGCCTTCCTCCCCCGTAGATCCGCCCGTGGTTATAGGTGTGAATATAAAGATATCATTGTCTCAACAAGTTTGTGACAGACCTAGGCATAAATCATTTATATTATTATTTTAAAATACCAAGTATTTTGTCTTTTTTAAAAATGGAGTGTATTTTGATACGAAAGTTTTGAAATCCTTTTTAGAATAAGTATTTCAAATACAAAATATTTATGGTGTTTTGTATTTTAATTACAAAAATAACATACAAATATAAAGTACATTTATGATGAGGCGCGTTCAAACAATATTTTTAAGGAATGCTGTAATGGTATTAGAAGACAGTGAATGTACTTTAACAAAATAATTGGGAATAAATTGTATCATCAATTAAAATTACTTCTGAACAATAAAAGTGTCGTTTTCTCAAATTATTTTCATTTCTATATTCAGTATTACATAAACTGAATTCTTCCAGAAAAATTACTTGAAAATATTATTAAAGAAAAAAAGGCAAATTTGTTTCCCAACTAAACATCTGTCGGTCCACCTTTAATTACTCATTTAACAAAACTGTATACCGTCTTCTATGCTTTCCTATGATAAAATCCTAGAATCGTGCATAATTAGTTTAAGGCAAATCAATGGCCCAAGATAATTGTATTACAAATTTAAAATAATTGACCTTAAAAATTTATAAGCTCGATTTTCAAGAGGTGCAATTTTTGTGCAGACGACTGCTCTTGCTACAATATTTCAAGAGGAAATTACTCAATTCTATAATTTATTTTGAGCATTTAAAATATAAAAAAGCATTTTTTTTTTTTTAATTTTAGCGTCTTGAGTATAAAATATAAATACTTTTTGTATTTTATATTTTAAAAATTAAATACAGTCACTAACAATTTATTTTGTTTTTCTTCTTAAAATGGAAAGCACAAAAAATTTATTTTACGTTGTATTTTAAAAATATTTCATTCGAAATACTACCAAGGTCTGGTTTATATTTCTAAGAAAAATATCTCTCTAAATATATTTCGTTCTTATCATTTGTAGGAGATGTAATCAGTAAATACAAATCGAAATAGGCGCAATGTATTTAGATATTCGTGGTCTTTGTATTTAGCTGTTACAATTTTTTTTTTTTACGTCAATTTTAATGGCTCAGCTTTCACAGTAACTGATTAGCTAAATTTCGATGGTTGTTAGCAGTAGTATACTAATCGAAATGGCGCTTACATATCTTGTTGGCCTACTGCGACGCAAACATATCGATGATGATTTTGAAATCAGTTTAATTCGTTTCTTCTCGTTCCAAACTGATTGAGCTAGGTCGCATAACCTTCCTCGATCTATTGTAACCTTTAAATACGAAAATTCAAATTTCATTCAAAATATTGATATTTATGCAGTATTTCCGCTTTTCTGACCTAATTTTCAACATTAAGACTTAAAAGAAGTATCATTTTGTAGGGTACGGCGAGTATATACTTGTATTTCCTACTGATTTTTACCAGTACTACGTCTCCCGGATTCCTTCCCGTTCGTTTCCCTTAGTTCGCATTCAGGAATCGCGAAATTATTTGAATGTAAATTTTATAATTAGTTTAGATGGATTTTTAAATTTAACACTGCAGTAGCAGAGACACGGCTGGAAGTGAAGCACTGGGATCTCCTGAAACCCTTCTTTTTCTTCTATATGTAGAGGACAAAGCTTAAATCGGATTTTCTTGGGCGAATGTAAAGATTGTATAAAGGCATGAATGTGTTTAAGATGTTTGACTTTATTTTTACTTATTTATTCACTTCTTATTTCACCTTATTTATTTACTATTTATTTTTTTAATTTTGGTTTATTATTATCAATACTGAATACTTCTTGCCCTTCAATGTGAATGATTGTATTATTATTCAATAAAAAAAATCCTTTGCGAATTTGGTGTCCTTTTGAATGGGGCCTGGGACATGTGTCGTACTTGCTCTACGCCACTGATTGCTTGTCGATTTATTATTTGTCTGCGTCGTAATACTTAGACGGAGCAAACTGTAAATTGATTAATTGGCACGCTCGGTATGAACACAGCCTTGGTCACCCAACCACTACAACACATAGATTTTGTAATGGGTCGTTAATTCATCGTATCATGGTTCATAATTTGTTGCCATTCAATATTTTATCTAATTGAACCCTCTACTAGTCTATCAGTAGTTAATTAAATTAATAAACGATCTTCAAATGAGTAAAAGATTGGAAGAAGCGTATAATAAACATAATAAGAAGCGTGAGGATATTCTGTGAAGAGCGTTTAAATTGTTTATAGATTATACACTTCTTCTTTCTTAATTAAGAATAGGCCTTTTCCAGTAGGAGTAGGATGGAACATCCAGCCCTCTTCCAATGCCGAACACAATTAAACCATTATCCTCATATACATATAAATTCTATTTAGTTTCTATAGAAACGTTTATTTCCCATTTAGTAATATAAATGGAAACATTATTTACTACAAAAATTAAAAGTCACTCTCCACTACCTTCTACGACCTAAAGTTAGATATTAAGTTTTCTAAAATCTTTAGCGTCCCATAGATTCATATGTTTATATTAATACTCTTCTCAATACACTTTCTCCTTCAATTAGCATTAAATGTTTTTCATAGTTCATATTTATCTATTTGGTATCACTACTAACAATGAGATACCTTTAATTATTTATAATAAATAAAACTTAAGTTACTTTAGAGAAAGAAACTTTGAAAATTCGGCAATTAATTTCTGTCAACCTATTTTAATACGAATAAGATCTAACTGATTTTAAAGACCATTCAGTCTTATATTTAAAATAACGGTTTTGATTCAAATTGTTATATTCGTGTTTGAGAAAATTGTAAAAATGTGTTAAAAGATGATATAAACATGCAGTATGTTCATTTCAGCAAAAGTGTTGCCGTAACATTCTAGGCGTACACTTCACTTGGGTACGTAATTTAAGAGTCGTACATCGTTTTGTTTTTTAGCTAAACTTTTCACATGCACACACAGAGGCTTTTTGCGAGATTTATTTATTTGGACTAGGGGGCCTTGAAACTAGTATGTAATTGGATTTTAAATATTTCACGATCACAATGCTTTCCTTTACTATATGTTTATAAATGGGTACTTGAATATAAAAAGTGAAAAATAAATCGAGATACATAATAGGAACCGAACGAAAAGTGATAATAAAAGTAAAATGATAATAAGTTAACCTAAAATTTGATACCAAAATAAAGACTCTAATCATATGAATACTTATATACAATATGTACAAATTGGGTCAGAGGATCCCCGAACCCGCAGTCCAAGTATGAAGGGTAAATCAAAGATCTTGCGATTCCAGCATATCTCTCACCCCGTTTCATTGGCACTGATCCAGTGGAGGCAGAGTAAAGGCTGCTAAAACAGCGGACACTGAAAATTACTGGAGGAGTTGGCCATTGACAGAATTACAGTTTTCAAATGAAACTACCATTTTAACCACCCTCGACTGAAATTGTAGTGAAGAGTAGGTAGGACTGGATAAGGATTATTCCATACGAATTGGGTGATTGGACAGGACCCAAGATGTTGCGTTGGGGAACTCCTTCCTCCACAGGAGCAATCATAATAGCCACTGCGGACTCATAAAGAGCGATTCGATTGGTTGGAGAGAGAAATAAAAAATTAGGTTTTAGGTAATAGAGTCTTGGGCTTGAAAAGCAACTCGTCGTGCCATACTCGATCAATAGCCTGTTCTATATTTATTCAGAAAGTCACCCGAACAATATTGCATGTTTTCAAGAATTGAGAATAAGTAATTGTCGACTCTGACGGTTGATTGCCTTCGGTGTAAATTAATGTATTAGTCACTTAGCATTATCAGTATCCGAACAGCCATCACGAACCCTTAATCATAATGATGAAAAAACATATAATTGAAATAATAAAATAAATGAATAAGGTTCAATGGCCTCAATACCCAATTAGGTGCTTTTAATTTGTTATTTATATGAATAGTTGCTTTTCTTTTCAAATATGTAAAATGGTAAAATGGATTTACGTATTAAAATAATCGAACTTTTTGCAATCCACCAATACCTCTAGCTACAATATGTAAGCGTTGAAATTAAATTGAAATACTTGAGCAATTTGAACTGACACATATTTTTTAACTTATCTTATCGCCGGCAGAACATGCTACTATGTAAATAGTATTCTATCACGAATGTTGTGGATACAATATTTGCGTAGACACAACAGCAGTTTATGAGAAAAGGAACTACAAATGCTTGGAAGTTATTTATATTGTAGTAAAAAATTATAATGACAATTATAATTAAAAAATAAATAAATTTTTAGGGTTGCCTGACTGTTAAGTTCTTTAATTTTTGTTTTATACATTAATTTTTTTTTTTAGAGCGAACTATTGTCTTCAATACTTAAGAATACAGATATAATTATATGATTTTATCACTTAAGCTGAACAGATAAATAGATTGAAATTATTCTTTATTTAAAATAATTTTTAAAAAGCTGTAAGAAAGGCTGGAATGAGACTACATAATTCATTATAGTATAAAAAGCTGTAATATCTGTAATATTGGTGTTATAAAAATATTATTTTTCTTGTTATTTATAATTGACATTTTTCTTAACATATAATTAAGTTTAGAGGACAGTTAAAGTAATGTTTGGTAAGTGAGCACAAGATTTTGCAAACTTAGATTTTTGTTTTTAATTGGGCGTTTGATAGAGTCTGGCATCCGGGACTGATGTACAAACTCTGTAAATTTCTATCACCTACATACTTCCTCATTATCCGTTCCTACCTTACTGACAGATACTTCAAAGTCAATCATAACAATGCTTATTCATCCCTTTTTACTCGGTCTGCCGGTGTTCCTCAAGGTAGTGTCCTAGGTCCTATCCTTTACACAGTTTATACAGCTGACATACCATCCATCTATTGCATCCCAAACTCTTCAACCACACATCAAAAGTCTTGAAAAATGGTGTCAAAACTGGACGATTAAAATAAATTCCAATAAACCCCATCAAATTACTTCCACTCTTCGTCGTAAGCCTATGACTTCCTGTCCTACAGTATCCTTCAACAATAGCCCTCTTATCTCTGTCGAACAAATCCGATACTTAGGACTCCACCTTGAAAAACGACTCACTTGGAACCCCCATACCAGACTGAAACGACTAGAAACCGCCCGACGTTTTCGACTACTGTAGCACTTACTAGACAAACGCTCTAAGCTTTCAATCAATTACAAACGACTCATATATATGACAATAATAAGACCTATTTGGACTTAAAGAATTGACCTTTGGGGCTCCACTAAACCATCGAATTCCTCTCATATCCAATCCTTACAATCCAAAATCCTTCGTAAAATCCTCAACGCTCCTTACTTTGCCACAAATAAAATCATCCATAAAGACCTTAATGTTCCATATGTTTCCGATTTGGCCCAATCCAGATACCTATACTTCCATTACAAACTGCAGAACCATCCGAATCCTCTCGTTTCAAACCTTGCTTCCTCCTCGATCCCTGATAACCCTCCGAGGCGTCTGAAAATAAGATGGCCTCGGGACCTTCTAATATAGAACTTTAATTTGAGTTCTACCAATGGGTAGTTTCTCTTCATGTTGTACATGTCATGTTACCAATGTCACATTTACTTATTGTATTTTCTATGTAATACAGTTGTAAATTTCATTAAAATAAAAAATAAAAATAAAAAAAATGTTTTTAATTGTCCATAATAAAGCACTCTTGCTCAATCTCCCCTGGGTTTAGCCCTAGTGACGCGGTTGAGAGAGGAGTGCAGGGAACTCCTGGAGTCATACTTTTCCTACCACAGTTGGAGGGACAAGTCTGGTTTGGAGTTCTCTCGCCAAATTGTAAATATTGTATATAGGTGTGTATGTGTTCTTTTTATTTATTTATTTTTAGGTTATTTTATTCTTATTTATTGTATATATATTATTTTTCTGTATAATTTATTTTACATAGAGTGTGAATGTGATCTGTGAACTCTATTATAAATGTTCTAGAGACAGATTGTAACATTTTTCAATAAATAAAAAAATTGTCCATAAATGATTGCATTTTAAATATTAAAATTTCATTCACGTCAATTTTCAATGGATTGATAATTCAAATCAGTAGCCTCTAGTATGTATTTCTTCCGGCTTTAAGCCATATGTGCGTTAATACGTATATATAGTACATTATTCAAACATAAGGTGTTGTTGGGCAATAGAAATATAATATTTTGTTTCCACAATTTTATTTAACTTTTTTATTAATATGAGAAAAGTAAAACATGTCAGAGATTCACATTATAACATCTTTACCGTTAGTCATGAAAGTGGAATTTGGAATATAATTGAATGGATGTATTGATAACTCGTTATATTTAATCTTAATTTTCAGAGTTCGTGCTCCCAAACCTCAGAAATTTAAATGTTCTTGTGATTTAAAAGGATGGATTTGATGTGTTCTGGGAATGATACAGACATTTCCGTCTTGAGAAAATCCAACTCAAGAGTTAATCTAATCTTGTTTTTCTTTTTTTCCATTTTCAGACGTAACCTGTTCCGTTGATTCCAATCTTGTCAACGTGAAATTCAGCTTCGAAATACCGGAACGAATAAAAAAAACACAAATCACTTCAGCAGCAATGTGGCTCTACACAAATCCAAATATCAACAGCTACCAGTTCAGCAATTGTCTATTGACGAGAAAATCATGCGATTCGGTTGCAAATATAACATCGAAGGAAATTTATCTCCAAACATCGGAGGCTAAAGGTATTTTTTTCATCCTACTGAGATACAAATTAAAAAAAAAAATAAAATAAAGAAAAACCAACTGTACCAAAATTAACGATTAACATAACAATAAAATTTTTAACTATAATCCTTACTCATGTTTACTTTAATCAATTTATTATGTTTGATTAAGATATATTAATCACTTTAAGGATTGCATTAGTAGTTTTCCATAACAACAATCATATTAATTAAATAGTGTCTAAATTAATTAGTTTAATCAAATAACATTGGCTAATTAAATGTTTCAAATTTCAATAAATTTATCTATAGTTCAAAATAAAGAACTGGATTATTTGTTTATTGATAAATATTACAATCTGTCTCAATAAAGGACATTTATAATAGACTTCGATAGTTCAAAATAAAATAAAAAATTCAAATAATAAAAAAATATGCCGTGATTAGGCGCATTCTCACATCCGATTGTATTTTCATAAAAACCGCCCTCAAAACATAGTGGTGTAAGTAGATAAGAATTGGAGGAGCTACCGCACCGATCGGGGTAGCCAATCAGAAGCCAGGATTTCAGTGACGTCATCATGGCGGGAAGTTTGAATTTGAATTTGAATTTGAACTACGGCACACTGCCTTTTAGGATCTCCAACCAGCCTTAACCACCCCGTGGGCAGTCATGTGACTACTAAGCCAAGCCCATTTTTACTCCTACTCTGCTTTAACCACTGGGTTACGGTCAAATTTAGTCACGTGATCAGTCACGTGACCACCAGTCACGCCCCTTTTCGATCCTGTGACCATCTCATTTCTCCCCCACTCCTCTCTAAGAGGATGATTGTACCCGTCCGCCATCTTCTTTTCAGGTACTTATGAGATTTGCACTGTATATGACGTCACGCCCCTTTTCGGTCCTGTGACCCTCACATTTCCCCCTCCCTCCCCACTCGTAACTAAGAGTTTGACTGAGCCCGACCGCCATCATCTTTTAAGGAACGTACGAGGTTTACGCTTAGTATGACATCACGCTCCTTTTCGATCCTGTGACCCTCACTTCCCCCCTACTCCTCGTTAAGATGATAAGCCATTTTGTTTTTCCGGTAATCTTCCTAATGTTTAACTTATATATAACCTTCCTAATGTTTATCTTTTATATAACCTTCTCAATGTTTACTTTTTCAAAGTCACGTGACTCTAATTTTCCCCCCACTCCTCTCTAAGAGGCTGAGTGTACCCAGCCGCCATCTGCTTTTCAGGTACTTATGAGGTTTGCACTTTATATAAAGTCACGCCCCTTTTCGATCCTGTGACCCTCAAATTTCCCCCACCCCCCCTCATTCCTCACTAAGAGGTTGACTGGGCCCGACCAGCATCTTCTCTTAAGGAACCTATGAGATTTACGCTTTGCATGATATCATGCTGCTTTTCGATCCTGTGACCCTCACGTTTTCCCCCCACTCCTCTCTAACATGGTGAGTCCGGTCGCTATTTTGTTTTTCCGGTAATCTTCCTAATGTTTATCTTTTATATAGCCTTCTTAACGTTTACCTTTTCAGAGACAAATGATCGGTCACGTTACCTGCTAGTTAAGTGACGGGGGGGGGGCTTTGTCCGTCATTTTGTTTTTTTTAATAACTTCCCTAATGTTTATCTTTTACGTAATGACAAATCTGGCGCTTCTCCCTCTACCCCAAGCGTTATAACCATTATAACCTTACAGTAACCTCTCCAATTTTGTATTATGAAATTGGGTTCTACATAGAATTCCACGGACCCCCGCTAAAACCAACCGTTTTCGAGATATTTGACATTTTATGTTTTTATTATATTATATTCATATTATTATATATTATATTTATGACAAATCTCGCGTTTCTCTTTCCTCCCAACTATTATAACCTTATAGTAACGTCCCCACTTTTTTTTATGATGCGGACCCCCCTTGAGCCCTTCGGGGTTGCTCTAAAACCAACCGTTTTCGTGATATTTGACAATTTATGTTTAATTTTTTATTATTAATTGGAAAAAATATATATTTATTTTAGTAATACTGCAAAAGACCTCTGGAGATTGCTTATTTAAATACTTTTAAGTAATTTTAGGTATGTAAACACTACACATAATTCTATTGCGCAGATAGTGAATGGACTTTGGCCCCTTTAATCCTTAATATAAACAACCTGTTAGGTCTTCTTAATCCCTATCTAAGTATAAACAATGGACTAGGATCTTTAATCTCTTATTTCTTATTGTTCTCCTACACATGTAAACATGGACTTTGAGCTCTTTAATCCTCAAACTGTAAACAACTTCTTAATCCCTACCTAAGTATAAACAATGGACTTTGATCTTCACAATACCTGCATTTATTTACCTATAAACAAACTGGTTTGATTAAGTTGCTGACAGGTTCCATCATGTTTAGGTTATATGGACTTTGGTCTTTTAAACATCTATTGGACATTTAGACTGTACCTTAAAGTATAAACTCATACTTTAACTTTCAAATCAATAGATTTATGATTTGTTTGCACTCGTCTTAGTTTTCTAAATATGATTTACAAATAAGCCTTCCCAAGGCGTCAAGGTGTGAGTGCATCGGGAAGGTTTGCTGATATTATATTGTTGTTAATATTTTCCAACAAGCATTATTTTGGTTTACGGGCGTTCATAGCCTCGCTATTGACCAAAACACTCATTCTATACGTCCTTTTACGTAGACCAAAGCGTACTTTTCGAGATTGTCACGAAAGATTCAACTCAGAATAGTGGATAGTCAAAGAGTTCCCAGCTACGAAAAGGGATAGAGAACATCCTTTCAGACCTGAGGTGTCGCATAAGAGCCATTTTTTGTTGCTCATTGACCGTTGCATATGGTAACTTCCAACAGAGTTTGAGTATCTCTATTTTACACTGTTCTTGAGCTTCATCTTGAGTTACTGTTGTTTTGTAAATATTCTCATCTTGCCGCCTTATCAAAATCAATTCTTGCTTCACGTTCAATATGATCTTTGGGTAATCTTCGAACAATCTAAGCAACTTAGCTAATGGAATAATGACATTAAATTCACCTTCTGGCCATGTTAAGTTTGTAATCTCATCTTTTGGATAGCACCATCCTTGGTATATCAAGGAATTAAATTGTCTCCCCCCCCTAAGAGAAACGAGATTTTTTAAAGGAGAAGTTATTCCAGGGTTTTTCACACGATCGACTTCTACTCCACTCAACTCATATCGAATCTCATCGAAAAGGAAAGAGATCGCATTTTTTGTCAATTTTGAAAATCTCGGAATCGTCACTCCGTCTTATTGGATGAATTTACCTCCGACGTAGAGCAGACTATGACTGGATAATGTGTACAAGTCTTGGTGTTGCAAACTGATACGAATCTCGTCACCAGACAAAAGTTTTGAGGAGGCGTAGGGATGATGGGAGTGAAATTCTATGGATTCGATTGAATTTCTAATCGCGGGACAGCTCTCTAAGTTTAATATTTCTTCCATGTCGATGAAAGAACGAAGTATCCTAGTGATTGAAGAAATAGAATATTACTCGCACTAAAAGATGTGCACTCTTCAACAATCTTCACCGGAATGATGCTTCTGTTCGCGGAAACGCCTTTATATACCTTTCTGAAATCTAAACCCATGGTTTCTTCTGATCGGAAACTTTCTATATGAGATCCAGTAAATAGAGGAGGCACAGCTGACCGCAATTGTTTCTCCTCGTTTCTTGATACAGTTTATCGTTCGTAGAGATTCGATTATTTTTAATATAACGCACGAACTCTTCTTGATAGAAACCTCCTGCGATAGTTTCACCTCTGACATCCTTCAAATGATAAGTTATTGGTACAGGGTGTTTAACCCGCTCTATCGTAAATATTTTCGGTTTCCAAGACGGTTGATAACCTTTCGCAAACTGAGCCTTGTACTTTGAAATTCTTACTCAATCTCCAGCTTTGTATCTGGTGACTTTCACGCTAGGTTTCTTTTTACTATACACTTCAAGTAAAAGTCGTTTTTCGATTTTCCTTCCACGCACATCTTTCGTCTTCATTTTTATCGTACTATGTTTTTATTATTATATTCACTGAGAAGAGATTTCAAAATCGCTAGCCACATGTAAATGCCTTGTAAGCTGAACTTTTTCCTTATCATAGATTTTAATGTACGATTGAATCTTTCCACTATCGAAGCCTTCAGATTACTGAATGTAGAGTAATGGTTGATCTCACCATTGACTTTCAAAAGTTGTTTATACTCCTTGTTGAAGAACTCTTTGCCGTTGTCTGTCTGAAGATTACAAGGTTTTCTTTCTTTCAATATCTTTTGCCTGTCTTATTTCGAGTCCTGTCTGATTCTCAACCAGTACAGCCCAAGCGTATTTCGAGAAGCAATCGATCGCAGTAAGTAGGTATTTGTAGTCATTATTTATTCGCGAGTAAGGAACCAATTCCACCAAGTCTGCCTGCCATTAATCATCGATACCTTTACGTAGAACACTTCTTCGTTGAAATGATCTTCTAGCCGGCTTGTGCAGCTCATGTACGATCTGCCCTTTAACAGTCGTCATATTGAACTGAGAGTATGAACTGATATTACTAAGCTATTATACCACCTATAGGGAGTTGCGATACTATACGACGAATCTCTGCTCGTTTCTTAGCTCTGTCGGAAGATTCGATTAACTTTCTCAATCTGTAAACTAAAATGTTGGGATCATCGATTCCACTTCCTTTCTTCGACGGGAATAGTTTAGAGATCACATGTTTGTATTTCAAATTGTTCTTTAGTTGCCGTATTGGGCCAGTTGGGCTGTATTCCTTATTGTGAGCGTTAGTCTGGTTCAATATTTTCTTGTATATCTCGAATTCACCCTGTGTTCGATCAGATATATAGATCAAGTTTTGAATTTACCATAAACAATAGTCCGAAAAGATCAGGCGTGCCATAGTAGTCAACATCTCCAACGGTAATAATATTCTTTTGTATTGAGACAACAGTATCACCAACGGTGAACC